GATATTATTATGAATACATTTACAGTTATATGAATTGACAGGTACCAATACACTTTTCAACCTTAAAGAAACATTCGGTAATCTAAATGATTAACAATACCCAGGTCTGAATAAGATATGAGTGTCTCAGGGTTTATTTTATATCAATTGGGAGTAGTTCCTAATCCAATTTGCTTTCACCTTATTTCAGTGTGTGTCACTCATCTTTGGAGAAGGTGAAGAACAAATAAAATTTGAAAAGAAATGGAATACTGAACCAACTCTCATAAAATAAAGGGAAGATGTGTGTTCCTATTCTGCTCCACGTGGAAACTTATACTGAAACAGTTTTGTCATTTTACTTACATTTTAGTTACTCTAATAAACAGTGTAATGGGACAAGACAATAAGATACTTTTACTTGCTACTGGTTTTATTTTGAATGACATTTTCCGATCAGTAAAATGATTCTTATACAGTTGCTTTATTTCTAAGTCAGAATCCCACTTAAAAAAAAAAATCCATAAACCCCATGCCCATTTCCAAAATCAGGGCCATCTATATATGTATTATCCTACAACACATGCCAAGTAAGGACCCAGTCCTGCAAACACAAGAACACTCCTTTTTCTCACAAATAATGGTTGCAGGATCAGGTCCTAATCTTCGATATCAGTAGGGCCCTACCAAATTCACGGTCCCTTTTGGTCAATTTCACAGTCATAGGATTTTTTAAAATCATAAATTTCATTATTTCACCTATTTAAACCTGAAATTTCAGTGTAATGGTAGGGGTCCTGACCCAAAAAGGAGTCAGTGCAGAAGTAAGGATGGCAATACTGAAACCCCCTAAAATAACCTTGTGACCCCCCCCTGCAACTCCCTTTTTTGGTTCAGGACCCCCCAATTTGAGAAACCCTGGTCTCTCACATGAAATCTGTATAGTATAGGGTAAAAGCACACGAAAGACCAGATTTCACGGGCCATGACATGTTTTTCATAGAATTTGTTTTTTCATGTGAATTTGGTAAGGCCCTATCAGGAACAGGGAATTCATTTGGGGTGTCCAAGGCACTGAAATTAAAAAAGTTAGGAGGCTTAGTTTCCTACATATTGTCCAGCTATCATTTCAGTTAAATGTACCCTCCTCTCTTCTCCCTGGCATTTTGGACATTCCCTACCCTGCCCATACCTACAACCTTCAGTGGGAAAAAGGGTTAAATGAATATTTTGGATGCAAGTTTGGTAGTGTGGAACCCCAATAATTAAAGGCACTGTGAGAAGTCAACCTGACCACAGTGATACAAAACACCTACTTCAGAAATCATCCAGACAGAAAAATCTTTAGAGACGTTTCCTTACAAAGGCAGTTCATAATACAAAATGCTAGACCAATTGCACTACTCATTCATGTCTTACCCTGATCGCCTTCAATCCATTAGATGTTTTATCCTCTTCAGCAATAGCAATGACTTTCTGTCCAACATTCAGTGGCACACCGCTCATCACAGCATCACTTGTGAAGCAAATCAAGTCATCTATCATCCCATAATCATGGCAAAATCTTGTCACTACTCCTTGTACGGTTTTTAACTCTTTATCATCTGAAAGGGGGAAAATATGTTTATATGCTTATATAAAAACAAAACTAATTTTTTGATGAAAATGTATAACTGTGGTAGTTATCATAAATGCCATGTAATGGAAACAATTCCCAACTGTGCTTGCAACCAAAATACTGCCACACTGAGAACCTGAGAAATTTATTTTCAAAGTCAAAGTTGCAAGGAATGTGAACAGTAAGCAATCAGCATAAATAATATATAAAACTGGATTCTGAAAAATAGTTCTAAGATAGTAGCTCTCAACCTTTCCAGACTACTGTACCCCTTTCAGGAGTCTGATTTGTCTTGTGTACCCCCAAGTTTCACCTCACTTAAAAATTACTTGCTTACAAAATCAGACATAAAAATACAAAAGTGCCACAGCACACTATTATTGAAAAATTGCATACTTTACCATTTTTACCATAAATTATAAAATAAATCAATTGGAATATAAATATTGTACTCAGATTTCAGTGTACAGTTTATACTGCTCTATATATTCAAGTCACTGTCTGTATGAAAAAACCAACCAAGTACATTCTAACAGTACCTTTTATCTTGTACTTTGAAAACAGAAAGGAAGCTTCATAATACCCCTGCAACGTAGGTGCTACACATTTTTATCCCAATTTCCAGATGGGGAATCTGAGGCACCAAGGATAAAAGATGTGAGAGCCCATAATCACACAAGCCAAGGGCTGTCCTGGAGCTCTGGAACAAAATCCTTGCTTCAAAAAAACTCCCTATCCTGTCTCAGACCATTAGGCGCTGCCTCCTAAGACTAGAGAAGTGACACAACAAAGATGGTGTCTTTGTGTTGCTGCCACAACGAGTTGATTTGTGGCAGGCAGGCCATACCTGTTGACCCGCATGCTGAAATAAACCAGACAACAGTTACTTGGTTAAGACCAGGTCCCCTTCTCTCTGCCCCGCAGAGATCTCGCCAGGCCAGGGGCCTGTCCAGCTCAGAGTTAGGGACAGGATCTCCCTGCCCGCAGCACAAGGCACAGCTGGCATCAAATGGCACAGGCTGGAGCCCCCCTCGGCTCTGACCAGCCCCAGGGACTCCTGCTCCCAGAGGGAGGCGAGTGACGCAGGCCGCTGGGGCTGGAGCATCGCGCCCAGAGGAGTTGGCCTCCGGGCCTGCGCTAGGGCCCGCTGGACTCCCGGCTGCGGCGAGTCAGGGAGCGATACCTGTGGCCGCCGGCCGCTTCTCTCCGGGCCCCTCCCCTTCTGCCCGTCTCCAGAAGTAGGCCAGCGCTCTGGACAGGAGCTGGAGCATCCCCAGCCCTGACTGGGGCGCGAGCCCGCCCACCCGCGGCCTCCCGAAGCTAGGCAGGAGCCTGGAACCGTCGACGGAAGCTTCACGCCCCCCACCCGCTCTACTCCCGGCTTCAGTCGCCGCTCTCCGGAGTCACGTGACGGCACGCGGGCGCTGCGGCCGTCCGTTGCGGGGGAAAAGAGCGGACGGAGAGCCTCACCTTGCGCAGGCGCAATAGCGGCCTCCGCGTGCCTCAGTTCTAACAATGGCTGTCTTGTCCCAGCCCGAGGCCGTGGTAGAAGCGGCAGGGGTGCAGGTCCCGGGGTCACATGTAGGGGAGCCCCGCCCCTCGCACGCGGAGCGCCGGGCAGGAGGGTTGTTCCCTGCTGTGTTGGCCAGCCAAGCTCCGCCCCCTGCTCTGAAGGTTGGGGGTGGATCTTTCTCCCTTCGGGGGGAGCTTTCTTCACATGCCCTGGGGAACCACCACCTCTGAACAAGCCATCCTGCCCTCTTCCCCGGGTGCCCCACTTCCTGCCCTGCCTGGGGGTGCCTGCCCACAGCCATGGGGTGATGCACACAGGGGCAGGAAACCTGTGGGTGTTACCAGGCAGCATCTCTATACTCTTGACCCAGAAGGACCGTTGTTATTTGCAGGCATGAGCCAGGAACTCCAGATTCTAGTGATACCAAGGCCTAGTCGCAGGAACCTGGGCTGGAGCAGGGCCAATGACGCACATGGAAGGGGAGGCCACAATTTACAAGATGCTGGTCTGGCTAGCTGTCAAGGATGCGGTGGAGGGATGCCGAGTAGCACTACATGCAGTGCCTTGGTCACTGGAGATGGACCCAAACCCTGTCTCCTTCCATCACAGGCGTGGACTTATGTTGGAGAAACCACAGAGCTAAATGACAGGTTTCAGAATAGCAGCCGTGTTAGTCTGTATTGGCAAAAAGAAAAGGAGTACTAGTGGCACCTTAGAGACTAACCAATTTATTTGAGCATAAGCTTTCGTGAGCTACAGCCCCCTTCATCGGATGCATTCCGATGAAGTGAGCTGAAGCTCACGAAAGCTTATGCTCAAATAAATTGGTTAGTCTCTAAGGTGCCACTAGTACTCCTTTTCTTTTCACAGAGCTAAAGATACCCTTGTACCCTCCCATTGGTGTGCTCGTATAACTGTCTTTCCATAATTTTGTACTGTGCTAGGGTTGCCACCCCCTTCCCTGAAGCCCTGCCCCTTCTCAGAGCCCCCCCCCCCCGCATTCCACCTCCCTCTCTCACTCGGTCTCCCCCATTCTCACTTTCACCCAGTTGGGGCATGGGGTTGGTGTGTGGGAGGGGGTGAGGGCTCCAGCTGAGGGTGTGGGCTCTGGGGTGGGGCCAGAAATGAGGGGTTCAGGGTGCAGAAGGGGGTCTGGCCTGGGGGAGGGGATGCAGGATGCGAGCTCTGGGAGGGAGTTTGGGTGCAGAAGGAGGCTCAGGTTGGGGGCAGAGGGTTGGGATGCGAGAGGGAGTGAAGGCTCCGACAGGGGTTGTGAGCTCTGGGGTGGGGAAGAGGGGTTTGCGGTGCTGCTGAGCTGGTGCTTGGGGCAGGGGCAGCACATGGAGCCCCACTGGCCGCCTCTGCGCCTAGGAGCCAGATGAGCTGGACATGCCAGATGCTTCTGGGAGCCACTCAAAACCAGAGCAGGCAGGGAGCCTGCTTTAGCCCCACTACTCCGATGACTGGACTTTTAGTGGCCTGGTCAGTGGTCACCAGGGTCCCTTTTCGACCTGGGAGTTCCAGTCAAAAACTGGATGCCTAGCAACCCTATACTGTGCCTAGGATGTTTGCACCCTTATCTGCCAGTTCATATACCTGCCCATTTGAGGGTGATGTATATACCTGCCCATTTGAGCATGTCTGTCATTACATCCACTAGAAGTGGTACATAAACAACTTGAGGGAAGATAGGCATAGAAATGTAGCATGTTATTATATAGATTATTTATTCTCATGTCATCTACATTTTACAGGATTTTATCAGAATTATTGCTTTTGCTTGTTTTGAAACTTGGCATAATTAAATTTTAGACCAAATATTCTTAATCAGATTTAGGAGGAAAAATATGTATTTTTCCTTCATTGTTTTTCTTTCAGTCCATGTAATCTAAAATAGGAGCTGCAATGACTCCAGGGAAAAGTAATTTTAGTGAATCTGCTTACCATATTTTTATCAGTTCTTTTAGTTCAGTATCTTGAGTTTCTATTATGCATTTTTCCCAGTCTTTTTTTTTTAACTGAGATTGCGTAGTGTTCTTCAAATATTTCTTACGCTGAGTCAGTGAACTCTATATTGTTTTAACACCATGGTGAATTGCAACATAGGAACTAAAACAAAAGACTTTCCACAGTAGGTGGTACCGAGAAGTTTGGCAGAACTGCATATCTTCATTAAATACTGCTGCAGTGATGTTTATTGTTGAAAACATCTTGTGTATGATACAAGATGAATCGACAACAGCAGTTGTCTTTGAAACCTTTTATTAAGTGTTTCATAACATTAAAACAGTTCCACTTTATTCCTGCCAAGAGAGAAAGAATAGAAATTAGATTTAGACCACTTGATATACTTAAACTGTATACAATATTATCACTTATTAAGAAAGTAAACAAAATATATTTATTCTCATTATTTATGTGTAGTAAAAGAAGGCCAATAGCCATATACAATAAAGAAATATATTAGTATAAGTGATCATCTGGCAAGCATGAATGCATATCAAAAGGGAAATTAATACACTTTTGCACATATACAAATATTAAGTAAATACAAGATCCTAGATTGCTTCCTATAGAGAGGAACATGACTGGCACAGGGAAGAAGAAAAACCATATGGGTGCCCTTATAGAGTTTTTTCCAGGGCAAATACTTCACTGCAAAGCAAGAAAAAGCAGAAGTTGCGGGGTTTGACTCACAGCTTCTCTGGATCCCAAGAGATTCATATAGGTATTTTTCTGAATGCATTTTGCAGTAACCCGTACATTTAGATAATCTTAAACAGCGTAAACTGATCTAAGGCTTTACATTAGTTAAAATTGATATTGGACCATAGATAGTTTTGAATATCAAAAAACATTAATTCAGAAAAGCTTACATTGGAGTCACAACAAAGAGTCTGGAGATCTGAACTGGGTCTCTGGATGCAAGTTGAGAGATTGCAATTGAGGAAAGCTTATTAGAAATAGAATTAACTTCCACTGCATTCTGTCTCAATTCCTCCAGCAGGGAGGAGGAGTGTTAAGAACCTGCACACTCAGAGTTAAGAGGACTGAAGAGGCAGATGCTTCATAAGATTTCAGCTTCCTTTCTCCATGGATCCTTTCTTCTTCTGCAGCCCTAAGATCTTTTCTCCTGAGGTAGAGTATTTAATGGAATTTCTCAGGCCCTCTGTCCTCAGAGTTTTACTGCAAGATGTTTTGGCTGTAAAAAAGGTCAGAATTTCATCTAGATGCCTTTGATCATTATTAGTATTATAAATATACTTGTTAGGGCCATAAAATAAGAATTAATTTGTATTCTTGACAGCACAAAATGTACAATACATACATTAGATAGACCAAACGCTTGTATGACTTATACACACAAAAAAGAGAGGGAGAATTATGCCTGTCCTATTTTATCCCCATCAGAGTATAAATTATGTGGAGAATGGCAGGTGCAAAAAAGATCTTGGAATATGATTACTATTGTTATGGTAGGGGATAGGGCAAAACCTCATTTAAGCCTCCCTTCATTCAGGATAAATGTAAGAAACAATCAAGCACCAAGTACCTTTCTGGAACCAGGCAGCTGAAACAATAGCTGAAACCACTCAAAACACCAGCAAAGCCTGAGTAGAAGCTGAACCATGTGGCCCAAGGGGCTTCCCTGGAGACTGACAGAGCAAACACAGGAGCTGAGGCATTGATTTGGAAGAGTGGCGTGTGTCCCTGTGAGAGAGAGATGAGGTAAAAACACTCAGCAGGACACAGAGATGGAGAAAAGCAGCCTCATGGAGAGCCAGAGAAGCCCTGGTAACATAAACCTTTCATAAAAGCTAAGAGAGAGAACTTGTAGGTAAAGTGCTGACTGAAAGAAGCTTGGAATTGTGACGAATGAAACCAGTCTCCTGTTGTTTGATTTCTGATTTATTCAGGGAAAGAGGACTTCGTATGGTCTTTGTAAATAAGCAAGATTACATCAAAGAAATACACAATTTCATTATCAGTTTCTCTTACTAATGGAAGCAACCTGTCAGTCCCATAATATTTTATTGAGGATCACACTGTGCAATTATTATCTATTTTATCATTGGAGAAAGACACAGATGGTAGAAATATTTGCATAGTGTTCTTCTATGAACAAAGAGGAATATAGGATTAATTATTTAGCGCCAATTTGTGCTAAGCTTCAACATAAACTGCAGTCATCAATGATACATGATGAATTGCTAAGTCTTTAGTCTGTTCAAAACAATTATCAAATTGTAATTATTTGATTTTTTTTGTAATAGTGGCAGATATTCAACTTTTTTGTTGAAGATTTTACTGTTAAATATTAGTACGTATTGAAAAGTGATGGCTTTTCTGAAGTTCTTGAAGCATACTCTCAAAGGTGCTGGTTTTTCAATATACTACAGTTTGAACTGTTTATTGGTTACAGTGGAGTTTTAAGTGTGTACAAAAGACCCAGTAATTGCTGAAGTTGTCATGATGCCAATATCTTCAGGGTAGATGCATTCCTGTATTTTTTCATTTCCTAATCTGCAGAAAGAAGGGATTCAGTTGGACCATGACTATTGCATGTTACTGTTGCCTGCTAGAATTTTAATTGTATTGTTTGACCAAAACTGTGTTCTGTAAGGCTCAGTGCCAATATGAGTCAAATGTGCAAAGTTTATCTGAACATTCTGAGAAAACCAGGATTTAGTCATCAAAACATATTCACAAAAATTTAATTGGAAAGAGGCAAACTAAGGTTTAAACTCCCTGAAGTGCAGAAACTTTTTCTCTGAAAACTTTTTTTAAGAAAACATTATACTTTCAAGTGTTCTCTCTCCTGTGAAATAAGAACTAAATTATTTGGAAAGAACTTCCAGGCAAAACATTATTATTAGATATGGTAACATATATAACTTTGTTAAATTTATTATACATACTTCATTTAAATGTCTGTTATAATGTAGCACACTCATTTAGAAAAACATAAAGTTTAAATGTTTGCATACCTATGGGTTTGATTTGGAATCAGGCTTATGAGAATATAGTACAGTCATCTTCTAGTGTATTCTCTTCATTAAAATTCAGGAGGCATTACCCTGTTCCCTGGCTTAACTGCAGTTTTTGCTGTGCTTTTGTTCCGTATGAATAGATGTTGTTGAAAGCCAAAGTGGAAGAGCAAACTTTTCAACGGTAGAATGAATCACTAAGCAGTGAGAATATCACAAAGTGTACAGATAATTCTACTCACAAAACTATTTTAAACTGACAACTAACTTTTCAATTTAAGGTAAGCACGCAGGTTTTTAACTGTTGAAAACTGTACAATAAATTATAATAATCTATTATTGAAGGCATCAGAATGGATTGGAAAAGAGAGAAGTGAACAAAACCTAATGATTGTTACTAGATACCATTTTTAAAAAGCAATAAAATACATTATAACTGAAGTATTCTGAATAAATGAGTCCATCAGAATAATTTTAAAGTCTAAATATAATTTTTAGATCTCTGAGGTTGATGCCTAAAGCCAAATGAAAATTAGGAAATAAACATGTTTAGAAAATCTTCACAGTCTCTTAGTAATGTTTAAAAGAAAAAAATATTTTAATTTTAGATATATCTACAAAGTTTACACTTAAATCATTAAATGCTAATATTCTTTTGCTCTAAATCTTCTTCTAAAAATCTTTCTTAAATCCAATTTTATAAAATTAACTACAGTGTAAACAAAAAAGTGTTTTAGACATACACACTTATTTACACTACAATACAGTATTGTTGACTACGGATATAGGAAATTCTCTTCTTGTATAGAGCTTAATTAATTAATGTTTGTACAGTACTTTGAAAATGTAAACTGCTAAGCATTAATTATTATTAGTAGTAGGATTAGTTTATTATTTTATTTATTAAATTCTAACTAGACGAAGAGTGGTTTTAGTGCTTATGTGCCTAAGGATGTAGAAAAACAAGACCATACTTTTTGGTATCTGCTTTTAGTTTGCATTTTCATGGTTTTTAAAATATTTACCTCTATATAGTGTTATGACCAGGGAAGAAGGTTACAGAGAAGAATTTAATTATGACAGGATGCCAACTTTGGAGCGTGGAAAGCAAGAGAATGGAAATTATGTACCAGATATCAAATCTAGTGACCTTCAGATATCAAAGAGATTTCATCCTTGTTTTAGTTATAGAACATGGATCTTTTCTTTGTTGATGGGGGTAAGTATTTTAAACATACTATTGCATTTCATACTGCAAGGAAAGTCTTGATAACTGTGAAGTTTTTCCTTTTGGGAAAGTTAATGAAATTAATCTCTTCACTGATGGTGTTCAGAAGATGAAAATGTATAAATATTAAAATTTGATGTTCAAACAGAAACATATTTAGCAACTACAAATAGATTTTCTAGCTAAATACATCACTTTTGTAAATCTGTTCAAGGCAGTGGTTTTATATCAAGGCTGAATTTGACCTGTAGTGTCCAAACATCATAATCTGAGAAAATAAATCTTAGTGGCAAATATCAGGACATATTCACTGTAAAAGAAATTAAACGTATTTTAATACTACCCAGGCAGATCAAATGTTTCAAACTTTCAGTATATTTCTAACCATTGTTAGTACTTTGCTTGCTATAACAATATTTTTTGTTTTTAAAATATGTATACAACATTTAATTGTCACTTTCTCTTTATATTAAAGAATGGAAAGATCTTTTCCTAAAAACTTTCAGTAATGAGAGCCATATCCTGCCTTGTGTGTGGTTTATGCAAATCTCATGTCAACTTAATTGAACTTTCATGGATAGAACCATGGAAGGATATAATTTTGAAGGAGTATTATATGGGTCCTTGACATTCTGACCAGTAATGACTAAAAGAACAGACATGATAACTATTAGAACCTATATTCCTGGTGTTTTTTCTCGCTGGTGGCCTCTGTGTTTTGTGGAATCACTTTGCAATGACTGAAAAGGTGATTATTTTCATTTTAGGACATTTATTTATTTGCACAGTGAATAAAAACAAAGTCTCATTTTCACTCAGGTCCCTGACCTTTTTTCTCTTTCTGACAAATTAATTTGCTTGAACAGCTTGAATTTACTTGAAATACCTGATTACATAACGAGAAGGGGCAAAAGAAGAGCTGGGTTTTTTTATATGGATTTTTTCAGTGTGCTTTCAAGCATTCACAGAAAGAAAAGAATTTGCTGTCTCATTCTGGGGTGCAGTCCAGACCAGTGAGGGGTTGTGTCACTGCCTGCCCTGTAAACTTGGGTGCTTCACTATGCTTTGCTGTTGTGGCTCCCAAACTGTGCCACTCACAAGCAGCCTTCCAGTATATAGGTCACACCCTGAGTTTCTGTGTGCTAGACAGTCCTGGTTCAGTGCTCTGAACCCAGCATCTCATCTACAGCCCCACTTTGGCTTCCACCTATCTTAGTTACTCCTTGAAAGGTTACCCCAACACACTGCCAGTCCTGTATTCCCCTTTTCCCAAACTGTGTGTTATGCACTGTCAAGCCCTTTCTTGGACAGTTCAGATATTACAGTTTGTTCCTCCTGCAAGGAGACAGTATTCAAGAGTTTGTTACTTTATCTGGAGTTACCAAACCATTCGGTTTAAACACACTACTGGATTGGTTTAGATTAAAAATAAAACAAGTTTCTTAATGAGAGAAGACAGGATTTTAAGTGAATTCAAGTGTAAGAGCTAAACTTAGAAATGGTTATAAGCAAATACAAGTGAAAACACAGATATAAAAGTCTAAATCTTAATCTGACAAGTTTTGATTCAAGTCTTTCTTTAAAATGGCCTTTCTTACCTACAGTCTCCCAGCAAGATGGTGACTGAACCTTTCCTTGGTCAGGATCTCTCCAGAGGCCCAAAGGTGTTGATGCCTTTGTCTTCTTAAGTGAAAGGGACAACTTGGGGTTTTCTGCCCCTTTCTTTAATAGTCTAGTTAACCTTTGAAGAGGATTCTTCTGAAGGTTACCCCTCAAACCAAAGTTTATCCAGACAGTGAGGAAGGCAACATGGAGTCTGGTGGTGAAGGAGGCTCCATTCTCTTTCTCCCCCCACTTGTGTTTGCTAAAATGGAAATTGTTTTGTTTCCTGCCATCTGCTTCCACTGCTCTTTTGAAGATCCTTGTTAACAAATTGCTTTGGTTAACAAAGGAACATCCAGACTGCTGGAGAAGTTGAATAAGTTGTGCCAATTCACAGAAGAACTTCCAGAGAAAGGAGGCAGGAAAATGGTATTATACCATTTCTTTTTTATGGGTGTACTTCAGTGGATAATGGCTCAGACTACCATATCCATGATGGAATCCAAAGTGGGTCAACAAGGGAATGTAATGTGGGTGCTTGTCACTCAAAGACTTTAAGGCCAGAAGGAACCATCATGATCTAGTCTGACTTCCTGCACATTGCAGGCCACAGAACCTTGCCCTGTAATAAACCCCTAACCTCTGGCTCTGTTACTGAATTCCTCAAATCATGATTTAAAGACTTCAAATTACAGAGAATCCACCATTTACTCTAGTTTAAACCTGCAAGTGACCCATCCCCCATGCTGCAGAGGAAGGTGAAAAGCCCCAGGGCCTCTGAAAATCTCACTTGGGGGAAAATTCCTTTCCAGCCTCAAATATGAGGGTCAGTTGGACCTTGAGCATTTTGGCAAGACCCAACAGCCAGACACCTGGGAAATAATTCTCTAGTAACTCAGAATCATCCCCCATCTAGTGTCCCATCACCAGCCATTGGAGATATTTGATACTAGCATTCGCAGATCAACTGCATGCCATTGTGAGCAGCCTCATCATAACATTCCCTCCATAAACATATCAAGCTCAGTCTTGAAGCCAGTTAGGTTTTTTTGCCCCAACTGTTCCCCTTGGAAGGCTGTTCCAGAACTTCACTCCTTTGATGGTCAGAAACCTTCATCTAATTTCAAGCCTAAACTTGTTGATGGCCAGTTTATATCCATTTGTTCTTGTGTCCACAATGATGCTTAACTTAAATAATTCCTCTCCCTCCCATGTATTTATCCTTCTGATGTATTTATAAAGAGCAATCATCTCCTCACAGCCTTCTTCTGGTTAGGCTAAACAAGCCAAGCTCTTTGAGTCTCCTCTCATAAGGTAGGTTTTCCATTCCTCTGATCATCCTAATAGCCCTTCTCTGCACCTATTTCAGTTTGAATTCATCTTTCTTAAATATGGGAGACCAGAATTGCACACAGTATTTCAGATGAGGTTGCATCAGAGTCTTGTATAATGGTACTAACTAAAAACCTCACCTGATGCATCAAAGGATTGCATTAGCCTTTTTCATGGCTGAATCACGTTGGTGGCTCATAGTCATTCTGTGATCAACTCATACATCCAGGTTTTTCTCTTTCTCTGTCGCGTCCAACTAAATCCCCAGTTTATAGCAAAAATTCTTGTTGTTAGTCTCTCAGTCCATGACCTTGTACTTTTGCACTATTAAATTTCATCCCATTTCTATTGCTCCAGTTTTCCAGGTCATCCAGAACTTTTTGTATGATATTCTAGTCTTGGTATTCTTCTAGATATTCTAGATGTCTAGATATTCTTCTGGTTTGGCAATACCTCCAAACTTTGTGTCATCTGCTAATTTGATTAGCATACTCCCACTTTTTGCACCAAGGTAATTAATAAAAATGTTAAATAGATAGGTCTCAGAACCAATCCCTGTGAAACTCCTCTTGTAACCTCCCCCAGCCTGACAGTTCGCCTTTCAATATGGCCCATTGTAGTCTCCCTTTTAAACATTTCCTTATCCACCTTTCAGTTCTCATGTTAATCCCCATCTTCTCCAATTTAACTAATAATTTCCCATGTGGAACTGTGTCAAATGCCTTACTGAAATCCAGGTACTGATTGCATTTCCTTTGTCTAAAAAATCAGGTTGGTCTGGCATGATCTACCTTTTGTAAAACTATGTTGTATTTTATCCCAGTCACCATTTACCTCTATGTCCATAATTACTTTCAAAATTTGTTCCAAGATCTTGCATACAATTGAAGTCACACTAACAGGCCTGTCGTTT